ACGACCTTATTGTCCGCCAAGTCAAGCACCTCCCAGCCCTTGCTCTCTGTCGAAACACCGAGGTGAAGACCCCAACGGGCCTTCGGCGCCAACTTCCCACCACGCCGCTGCTCAGGGACCATGAACTGCACCATGCAGCCCCACACGCGCGCCAGCGTCAAGTCCGGCTTCTTCTCGAACAGCAGCTCGTGCGGCGTCGTCCCCGAAGGCAGAGAAGCCCGTTCGAGGCAATTGCGCACCCAGACAGCCTGTCGCAGAGCAAGATGCCACCAGTGGTTCTTCACGCCCATGTGCAGAAGCATCGTCCGCACGGCCTCGACGACCGTGCGCATCTCCCGCTCCGCCATGCCGTTCTGCTGCGGAGTGTAGGGGCACGTGAGGTTGTGGAGGATGCCCTTGTCTTCGACGAGGTCGGTGAAGGCGCGACCGAGGAACTCCCCTCCGCGGTCTGAACGCATCATCTTCACCGTTTTCGAAGTCTGCCTCTCCACCACCTTCAGCCACTTTTCGAAGACGACCAGCACGTCGCTCTTCTTCGCGACCGGCCTCACCCACACGTAGCGAGTATTCCTGTTCTTCAGCAGAAGAAAGTAGAGACTGCCATCGTTGGCGGCCACTCGAAACGGCCCGCAGAGATCGATGTGCACCACGTCAAGCGCATTCTCTGCGTCCGATCCGTGGTCGGGGAAGGTGTGCCGCACAATCTTGCCGCCGATGCAGGAGGCACACGGCAGATCATCTACGGTCGACTTCTTGATGTCCCGACCGGCGGCGACCTCATGCTTCGCCGAGCTCTTGATCGTGTTGACGCCGACGTGCGCAAGTTGAGCGTGCCACATGTCAGGGGTCGACTTCGTCGCCGACGCGATGGTCCGCGGAGCCACAACCTCCATCGAAGTCGTCTTAGACTTCGTCGAACAGGGGCGCAGATCGGTGCAGAGAACTCTGCTGGAGTAGCGTGCTCGACCAAGAACATCGCCGGCAGAAGACACCAGCAGCATCTCTCCGCCGTCGTCCTGTAGCTTCACACCGTTCTCCTTGAGCTGGCCAGCAGACAGCAGGTTCGCGTGAACACCCGGAACGTAGAGTACGTCGGGGACGAGGACCAGCTTCCCGGCCTCCCCTTCCAGAACAATGGTGCCTCTGACTTCGACGCTCTGAAGTGCCCCGTTGAAGCCGCGGACGTGGCGAACGTCGCCGCTCGGCTACATGTCGACGAAGGCCTCCTTCGTCCCCATCAAATGGTGGGAGTAGCCGCTGTCGAGCAGCACGACAGTCGGATTGGCCTACACAGTAGCAGCGACCGCCTTGAAGTCTTCGCCAGCCTCCAGCGCCAGCGAGATCGTCGGCTCCACCACGACGACCATCGAGCACGAAGCCTCCTCGCCACGAGTAGGCATCCTTCGTCGAAGACGTCTTCGTCGCCTGCTTCTCCTTGCGCGGCTGGTTGTCGCGGCGTCGACGACCGTCGTCAGACTTCCCGCGGCTTCCCTTGTGGTCGTCGTCGTCAGATTTCTCGCGATCGGGGCAGTCATACGAGAGGTGGTCGGGCTCATCGCAGATGTAGCAGCGACGTCCTTCTCGACACGAGCCACCGCCATCGCGATCACCTCCCTTCGCCGACTTCCCGCGGTCTGCACCCTCCGTCGACTTCGTGTTCGACGACTTCCAGCCACTGCCTCCGCCAGACTGCCCACGCTGCCCCTGTTGGCATCCCTGCTTTGCCGAGGCGACGTAGTTGGCCTGTGGAAGCAGTTCCGTAGACCTCTCTGACTCCTGCATGAACTCGTCGTTGATGATCTGGCTCGACAGAGTGTCCTCGTTGAGCGACTCGCGCGCGCCGGGCATCGCCAGCATCCGACGCATCAAATTGTAGCCCGTTGGTAGACCCTTGATGACGTGCATGACATACAACGCCACCGAGTAGTCGACGCCGGCCATCTGTAGTTCGGCCAAAATTCGCCGAGCTCGATTGCACTATTCGGTCGCCGACTCCTGCTCGCCCATCCGAATGTTGGTCATGTCAAACATTATATGTTTACATTGTGTAGGCTATAGTGGGTTTAGCCTTAGGGGGTACAACATTCTAGGGTTTCCTACTTGTACTCCCACACTTGTTCATTCTAACATGGTATCACGAGCCTAGGTTGCTACCTAGGACCGCTTTCTACTACGGGCCCACTATTCCGCTAGAAGCACCCTCGTGCGCCCTACCTTACGTGCGCCCTCGTGCGCCTTTCTCTACTCGTGCGCCCTCGTGCGCCCTCGTGCGCCTTTCTCTGCTCGTGCGCCCTCGCGCGCCCCGCCCTTTGGTCTGCCCGAGTGCCGTCCTGTAGCCCTCGCGCTGCCTCCTGCAAGCTAGTACGGCCCTCGAGCCGCCCCTGCAGGTCCGTCAGGCCCCCGAGCCGCCTCTGCAGACCCGTCAGGCCCCCGAGCCGCCTCTGCAGGCCCGTCAGGCCCGAGAGCCGCCCCTGCAGACCTGTCAGGCCCGCGCGCAGCCTCTGCCCGACCGCGCGCCGCCCCTGCAGGCTCTCGCCGCCCGCCACGTCGCCCTGCCCGCGGCGTCGCCGCCTGCCCACGGCGTCGCCACCTGTCCGCGGCGTCGCCACCTGCCCGCGGCGTCGCCACCTGCCCGCCGCGTCGCCCTGCCCGCGGCGTCGTCACCTGCCCGCGGCGTCGCCCCTGCCCGCGGCGTCGCCGCCTGCCCGCAGCGTCGCCACCTATCCGCGGCGTCGCCACCTGCCCGCGGCGTCGCCACCTGCCCGCGTCGCCCTGCCCGCGGCGTCGTCACCTGCCCGAGGCGTCGCCCCTGCCCGCGGCGTCGCCGCCTGCCCGCGGCGTCGCCACCTATCCGCGGCGTCGCCACCTTCCCGCGGCGTCGCCACCTGCCCGCCGCGTCGCCCTGCCCGCGGCGTCGTCACCTGTCCGCGGCGTCGCCCCTGCTCGCCGCGTCGCCCTGCCCGCGGCGTCGCCACCTGCCCGCCGCGTCGCCCTGCCCACGGCGTCGCCCCTGCCCGCCGCGTCTCCTTGCCCGCCGCATCGCCCTGCCCGCCGCATCGCCCCTGCCCGCGCGTCGCCCCTGCCCACTGAGTCGCCTTGACCTAACCCGCGCCTGGCCTCTGGAGCAGCCGCCCCTGCAGCAGCCGCCCCTGGCTCCTGGAGCAGCCGCCCCTGCAGCAGCCGCCCCTGGCCACTGGAGCAGCCGGCCACTGGAGCAGCCGCCACTGCAGGAGCCGCCCCTCGCCCCTGGAGCAGCCGCCCCTGCAGCAGCCGCTCCTGGCCACTGGAGCAGCCGCCCCTGGAGCAGCTGCTACTGCAGGAGCCGCCTCTGGCCCCTGGAGCAGCCGCCCCTGGAAGCAGCCGCCCCTGGAGCGGCCGCTGTGGCGGCCCCGCAGTCGCCCCGCTCTTACGCCTGCCCTTCCCACCACTGGTGAGCACTGCCCTGCCCGTGCTGCTACTGCTGTTACTGCTGCTGCTACTGCTTCTACTGCTGCTCCTGGCGTGGCCAGATGCAGCTCCAGGGCCGTCCGCGTGTGTCCCTCACGCCCCAGCAGCTTCGTGAGTGGTACGCCAGTTGGGGTTGTCGGGGTGGCAGTAGTGGGAGTCGTCCTGGAGTGGGTAGTTCGGGAGTTTCTTGTAGTGGCCCGGTGCAGCAGCCGCGTCGTCTACGCGAGGCTCTTTCGCCCCAGCAGCTTCGTGAGTGGTACGCTCAGAGTAGAGGGTCACTGAGTCCTGCTCGCTGCCCGTACGTCATTCGCACAGGTGTCCGGGTAGGTATCTTTGCTCTTGACTATGATGCTATCCTCACTGCCATGTATGCATTGTCTACTAGTGCTGAGAGTGCCTGTCACCTGTGTGTGCCGCCTGACCCCGGTATCCAGTCTGCTGCTCTAGGTACTGGTGAGGCTGCCGCTCTAGGCGCTAGAGTGTCTATTGCCCCAGGTGCTGGTGAGGCTGCTGCTCTAGGTACTCGTGAGTCTGCCCCCCCTGGTACTGAGTCTACTGAGGCACTGCACACCTTCACACTGGACTCAGGTGCTTCTCGCTGTTTCTTTCATGACCGCACTGCCCTTGAGCAGCTTGCTCGGCCAGTTGCTGTCTCCCTTGCTGACCCCTCTGGGGGTCCGGTCATTGCGACCTCCTCCACTGTCCTTCCTTGTCCTGCAGTTCCGTCGGGCACACTGTCAGGTCTCCACCTCCCCTCGTTCTCTACGAACTTGGTGGCGGGTTGTGCGCTCCAGGACCGGGGTGTCCACCAGTTCACCCCTGCCTACGAGCGCGTGACACACTACACGTGTGCTCGGACGGGCCGTCACCTGGCTACCTTCACTCGGCAGCCGGGGTCGGACCTGTACACACTGACCACTGAGTCCCCTCACGTAGCTGCGTCTGCGTCTGCTTCAGGTCAGCTGTTTGCCCCCTGCTCGTGTCGCTCTCTAGCACACGAGACTGTCCTCTGGCACCACCACCTTGGTCACCCGTCAGTGCAGCGCCTTCGTGCCATGCACAAACGGTACCTTGTCTCTGGTCTTCCCCGGGTACTCCCTCCCCTCCCACCCTCGCCTGCTCCTCCCTGTCTTCCTTGTGTCGAGGGGCGGCAGCGCGCCGCTCCTCACTCCTCCTCGTTTCCCCCGACGACTGCTCCCTTGCAGACGCTCCACATGGACGTGTGGGGCCCAGCCCGCGTCCATGGACAGGGTCAGGAGAGGTACTTCCTGATCGTTGTTGACGACTACTCGCGCTACACCACGGTCTTCCCCTTGCGCACCAAGGGTGAGGTCCCTGATGTTTTGATCCCTTGGATCCGCGCTTCTCGTCTCCAGCTCAGCGAGCGGTTCCACTCAGACTTTCCTGTCTTGCGTCTGCACTCTGACAGAGGTGGTGAGTTCTCCTCCGACCTCTTGGCAGCCTACTGTGCGGAGCACGGCATCCGCCAGTCGTTCACGCTTCTGGCCTCTCCACAGTAGAATGGGGTTGCTGAGCGCCGCATTGGCGTGGACATGGAGGCCGCTCGTACTTCCTTGATCCATGCGGCTGCCCCCCCCTTCTTGTGGCCGTTTGCGGTCCGATACGCTGCGCATCAGCTCAACCTCTGGCCCCGTGTCTCCTTGCCGGAGACTTCACCGACACTGCGTTGGACGGGAGAGGTTGGCGATGCGTCGCGTTTTCGGGTCTGGGGATCTCGAGCTTTTGTTCGCGATACGTCCGCGGACAAGCTCTCCTCCCGCGCTGTTCCTTGTGTCTTCCTTGGCTTTGTCCCGGACGCGTCTGGTTGGCAGTTTTACCACGCCACCTCGCGCCGTGTCCTGCCCTCTCAGGACGTCACTTTTGACGAGCCCGTGCCCTACTACCGCCTCTTCCCCTACCGCACTGCCCCGCTCCCCCCCCCGCCTCTCTTCCTCGCGCCAGGTGCTGCTGTGGTAGACCCCCTCCCCCCTCAGGGTGCCGCTCCCTCAGGTGTGTCCCAGGTAGACCCGGTTGAGCCTGTCGAGGTAGCTGTCGACTCTCGTCCTGCTAGGGGTGCTGAGCCTGAGCGTGCGGAGCCTGGGGGTGCGGAGCCTGGGGGTGCGGAGCCTGGGGTTGCGGAGTCTGGGGGTGCTGAGCCTAGGGGTGCGGAGCCTGCGGGTGCTGAGTCTGGGGGTGCTGAGTCTGGAGGTGCTGAGCCTGGGAGTGCTACACCTGGAGGATCTCTCTCCTCACAGCAGCTGCGTGAGTGGTACTTACAGTACTGCAGCCTCAGGAGAGGTGCTTCAGGAGCTAGGAGTGCTGCTGGAGCTGGTGCTAGTGCTTCCCCTCCTAGGCGGGAGCTGCCCTCTCCCCAGCGGCTCCGAGAGTGGTACGCTCGGCGCTGCAGTCTCCGGAGTGGCGCTCCTAGTGTCGCGGACCCTGGTGCTGGGGGTGTTGCTGCTGCTGGCGGTGCTGCTGGCGCTACTGGAGGTGCTGCTGGTGCTGGAGCTGCTGGAGGTGCTGCTACTGGTGGTGCTGCTGGCGCTGCTGGAGGTACTGCTGGTGCTGGAGCTGCTGGAGCTGCTGGAGGTGTTGCTGCTGCTGGTGGTGCTGCTGGTGCTGGTGCTGCTGGAGCTGCTGGAGGTACTGCTACTACTAGAGGTGCTGCTGGTGCTGCTGACGCTGCTGGAGGTGCTGCTGGTGCTGGTGGTGCTGGTGGTGCTGCTGGAGCTGCTGGAGGTGCTGCTGGTGCTGGTGCTGCTGGAGCTGCTGGAGGTGCTGCCACTACTAGAGGTGCTGCTGGTGCTGCTGGAGCTGCTGGAGGTGCTGCTGCTGCTGGCGGTGCTACTGGCGCTGCTGGAGGTGCTGCTGGTGCTGGTGCTGCTGGAGCTGCTGGAGCCGCTGGTCCTGGAGGTGCTCGTACTGGAGGTACTGGAGCTGCTGGGACTGGGCCTGCTGAGGGGGTTGTCGCTGGAGGTGCTGAGCGGCCTCGGCCGTACTACGTTCCGCTCCTTCAGCAGGTTCTTGGTCTCCCGCCCTCTACTGGTCCTTCTCCTCCCCTACTGAGTCCACCGTCTGTCCAGTCGTAGTCACGGTTACAGTCTGCCTCTCCGCTGCCTGCCCCTTCTCCTTACACTGCGCCGACGGGTAGTCTTACGGAGCGTCGTGAGCCTGAGTCTCGTCCTCCGTCGCCTGAGTCTAGTCCTGCGTCTCCTGAGCCTCGTCCAAAGTCGCCTGTCCGCGCTACGCGCACTCGTCGTCGTGTTCCGCGTGAGCGTCCTCCTCCTGTCCTTGGCACTCACTATATGACCCTGCGTCCTTCCACTGCTCCACAGCGTGTCCCTCTGCCGTCTCCTCCTGCGTCCTCTCTTCCTGACGTTGCTGACCCGCCGTCAGACCTTACTCGTGCTGCCAGTCCTACTGTCGCGCGTCTCCTTGCCACTGTTGTCACTGACCCTACCTTTGAGTCCTCTGTTGCGTCTGCTCTAGTCGCTGAGCTTGTGGACTTTGCTGCCGCCTGTCGTCTAGACTACGCCGCTAGCCTTGTTGCTGAGTCTGAGTCTGTCTGTCCTCCGTCCGTCGGGGGTGAGTGTGCTCTTGGCACGGACGTCTTTGAGGACAGACAGGAGGAGTTTGAGTGCTTCGCTGCTGCTTTACCTCATCTCGTGTCCATGCTGATTGCCCCTGAGGGAGACCCGGATGCACCAGACATCCCGACCCCACGCTTCTACGCAGAGGCGATGGAGGGTCTCTACTCCTCTCAGTGGCAGACAGCCATGGACGCAGAGATGGCTTCCTGGAAGTCCACAGGCACCTACGTTGACGAGGTTCCCCCACCTGGGGCGAACATCGTCAGTGGCATGTGGATTTTCAGGGTGAAGCGGCCGCCGGGTTCTCCGCCTGTCTTCAAGGCGCGTTACGTTGCTCGAGGCTTCAGTCAGCGAGAGGGAGTTGACTTCTTCCAGACCTTCTCCCCGACCCCGAAGATGACCACTCTTCGGGTTCTGCTGCACGTCGCAGCTCAGCGTGACTACGAGCTCCACTCTCTTGACTTCAGCACTGCGTTCCTACAGGGCAGCCTACACGAGGAGATCTGGCTGCGCCGCCCACCTGGCTTCACTGGGTCGTTCCCTCCTGGTACCCAGTGGAGCCTCCGGCGGCCAGTCTACGGTCTCCGCCAGGCACCTCGTGAGTGGCACGACACACTGAGGACTACACTTGCGGCTCTTGGGTTTGCTCCTTCTACTGCTGACCCGTCGCTGTTTCTACGCACCGACACCACTCTGCCGCCGTTCTACGTTCTCGTGTACGTCGACGACTTGGTCTTTGCTACTGCTGACACTGAGGCACTCGCCCACGTGAAGTCGGAGCTGCAGAAGAGACACACGTGCACAGACCTGGGTGAGCTGACAAGCTATCTTGGCTTGCGGATCACCCGGGACAGAGCACAGCGCACCATCACCTTGACTCAGTCACACATGGTGCAGCAGGTCCTTCAGCGCTTCCGCTTCACGTACTCCTCGCCTCAGCCCACTCCTCTGCCTACTGGTCACTCGCTCTCAGCTCTGCCTTCGGATGAGTCCGTAGAGCCGAGTGGCCCGTATCCAGAGCTTGTGGGCTGCCTCATGTACCTGATGACCTGCACTCGACCTGACCTTGCATACCCTCTTAGCATCCTAGCACACTATGTCGCTCCTGGCCGTCACCGGAAGGAGCACATGGATGCCGCTAAGAGGGTGTTGCGCTACTTGTGCAGTACGTCGGGCATGGGGCTTGTGCTTGGAGGACGGCGCGACGTTGTCCTCACTGGACACTCAGACGCTTCTTGGGCTGACGACCAGGCTACGCAGTGGTCGTCTCAGGGTTACACCTTCAGCCTTGGCTCTGGCTCTGTTTCCTGGCGTTCTACACGCTCTTCCTCTGTTCTCAGCTCCTGTTGTGAGGCTGAGATCTACGCCACAGCCATGGCTGCCCAGGAGCTACGCTGGCTCACCTACTTGCTGACCGACCTCGGAGAGCGGCCTCGTTCTCCTCCAGTGCTGTACGTCGACAACAAGGCAGCCATTGCCTTGTGTCAGGAGCACAGACTGGAGCACAGAACGAAGCACATCGCTCTGCGCTACTTCCTTGCTCGAGAGCTGCAGCAGCGTGGTCAGCTTTGTCTTTCGTACGTGGCCACTCGGGCCAACACTGCTGATGTGTTCACCAAGGCGCTTCAACCTTGTGATCATCAGCGTTTCTGTACTGTTCTAGGCCTTGTGCCTACTGTCCCTCACTTGCTCACTTCTTGACTCTGCTTGTACTGTGATCTCTATATATATACCTGCATGCTTACACTTGCTAGGTTGTGATGACTGTACCTCTTGTTATATTATCAAACTGCATGTGAACTGATCTTGTGACCACTTGCTTGTGCTCGGAATTTGTGTGGCATCCTTGAGATCCACCTTGAGCTTGTTGTGCCTTGCTTTGACTGGTCTTGTGACCCCTTGCTCTCCCCCACTTCGCCTATGGGGGTGTGTCAAACATTATATGTTTACATTGTGTAGGCTATAGTGGGTTTAGCCTTAGGGGGTACAACATTCTAGGGTTTCCTACTTGTACTCCAACACTTGTTCATTCTAACAGGTCAATCGCTGCTCCAGTTGGCCGATGTAGAGGTCGTCGGTCGCCTTGTAAGTGCGCATGATGTACAGCCACGCTTGGTAGCCAGCATCCACCCGAAGTCTGCACGGCTTCAATGCGACTTGCACCAGAGGCGAGCTGCACCTCGAAATGACCATGAAGGTCAGGAGGTGAGCAGCGCGAAATTTCGACCAGAGCTCGACGTCCTCTTCGTCCAGCGCGAGCACGTCGCCGTCGATAAACTTCTTCAATCCAACAATCTCCAGCTGGGGCTCGACTGACTCCGTCCACGTGATCAAGTCGTGGCGACATTCGAGCGGCTTTGCCACAGCGATCTTGTCCGGCGAGAATTTAAAATATCCGTACGCCGGCGCGATGCCTCCATCTCAACCAGATGACATCTGAGTTGCCGAAGTCGGCCTGACTCCACTTCGCAGAGGAGATTGACGTCGACCATCAACGTTGCCGTTCGAGCTGCCTCCAGTCGCAGACGATCACTGCACTTGCGCCTGCACTCCGCCAACGCCGACGTCGGCGGTCCGAATCACTCCGCGAACCCTCGTGCTTCCACCGCCGACAACATTGCCGCCATCACGTTCGTTGTGCACGGGTCGGGGAGAGGCGGACGCATTCTCCGCTTCTGCACGGGGAGGGGGATGACGTGCCCACTTCGCACGAGTTCCAAGGAGCAGAATCTCCAAGTCCGCCTTGCCGTACCCGCCAGCCTCGTGGCGTGCCCGAACACCAGCCTCTCTTGCCTGCAGGGTATCTTCTACGCCTGCTTCGACTACGGGGTCGACCATGGCGACTAAGACGGCTGCCGGCCTAACAACAACTTAGGTAATGAACGCAGAAGTCGGCTATCTGGAGGTTCTAACGCGGGGTCGTCCACGCTCACCGCACCATGCGGAGAATATTATTCTACGAGAGAGCAGGATTGCGTGGGACGCACGGTCAGAGTTCTGGCAGTGATTCTTGTCGGAGTGTTGGAATGCCTTGGTAGAAATCAAGCATAGTTTCACTAGGAAAAGTTGATAGAACAAGATATAAGCAAAGAGAACCAAATAGCAGAAGACAGAACCCCGAAGAGAACGTTCCACGTGTCAGAATGAGAGAAGTGATTGAAATAACAGCATTGGGAGTACAAGTAGGAAAACCTAGAATGTTGTACCACCTAAGGCTAAACCCACTATAGCCTACAGAATAGTAACATATATAATGTTTGACACACCCACATAGGCTAAGTGGGAGACAACCAGATGGTCACAAGACCAATCAAAACAAAGCAAAGCAAAGCACAGCTCAGGGTGGATCTCAAGGATACCACACAAATTCCGAGCACAAGCAAGCGGTCACAAGACCAGTTCACATGCAGGTTGATAATACAACAAGAAATACAGTGATCACAACCTAGCAAGTGTAAACATGCAGGTAGACATATATAAGGATCACAGTACAAGCAGAGTCGGGAAGTAAGCAAGTGAGGCACAGTAGGTACAAGGCCCAAAACAGTACAGAAACTCTGATGATCACAAGGCCGAAGCGCCTTGGTGAAGACATCAGCAGTGTTGGCCCGAGTGGCCACGTAAGCGAGACGAAGCTGACCACGCTGCTGCAACTCTCGAGCAAGGAAGTAGAGCAGAGCGATGTGCTTCGTTCTGTGCTCCAGTCTGTGCTCCTGACACAAGGCAATCATGGCCTTGTTGTCGACGTACAGCACTGGAGGAGAACGAGGCGGCTCTCCAAGGTCGGTCAGCAGGTAGGTGAGCCAGCGTAACTCCTGTGCAGCCATGGCCCCTGCGTAGATCTCAGCCTCACAACTGGAGCTGAGAACAGAAGAAGAGCGGGTAGACCGCCAAGAAACAGAGCCGGAGCCAAGGCTGAAGGTGTAACCATGTGATGACCGCTGCGTAGCCAAGTCGTCAGCCCAGGAAGCGTCTGCGTGACCAGTGAGGACAACTCAAGCCCGTCCTCCAAGCACGAGCCCCATGCCCGACGTACTGCCCACAAGCTCTAGATACGGGCCACTCGGCTCTACGGACTCGTCCGAAGGTGGAGCTGAGAGCGAGTGACCGGTAGGCAGAGGAGTGGACTGTGGCGAGGAGTACGTGAAGCGGAAGCGCTGAAGGACCTGCTGCACCATGTGTGACTGGGTCAAGGTAATGGTGCGCTGTGCTCTGTCCCGGGTGATCCGCAAGCCAAGATAGCGTGTCAGCTCACCCAGGTCTGTGCACGTGTGTCTCTTCTGCAGCTCCGACTTCACGTGGGCGAGTACCTCAGTGTCAGCAGTAGCAAAGACCAAGTCGTCTACGTACACGAGAACGTAGAACGGCGGCAGAGTGGTGTCGGTGCGTAGAAACAGCGACGGGTCAGCAGTAGAAGGAGCAAACCCAAGAGCAGCAAGAGTAGTCCTCAGTGTGTCGTGCCACTCACGGGGTGCCTGGCGGAGACCGTAGACTGGCCGCCGGAGGCTCCACTGGGTACCAGCAGGAAACGACCCAGTGAAGCCAGGTGGGCGGCGCAGCCAGATCTCCTCGTGCAGGCTGCCCTATAGGAAAGCAGTGCTGAAGTCAAGAGAGTGGAGCTCGTAGTCACGCTGAGCGGCGACGTGCAGCAGAACCCGAAGAGTGGCCATCTTCGGGGTAGGGGAGAAGGTCTGGAAGAAGTCAACTCCCTCACGCTGACTGAAGCCTCGTGCAACATAACGCGCCTTGAAGACAGGCGGAGAACCCGGCGGCCGCTTCACCCTGAAAATCCACATGCCACTGACGATGTTCGCCCCAGAGGGGGGGAACCTCGTCGACGTAGGTGCCTGTGGACTTCCAGGATGCCATCTCTGCGTCCATGGCTGACTGCCACTGAGAGGAGTAGGGACCCTCTATCGCCTCTGCGTAAGAGCGCGCGGTCGGGATGTCTGGTGCATCCTGGTCTCCCTCAGGGGCAATCAGCATGGACACGAGATGAGGTAAAGCAGCGGCAAAGCACACAAACTCCTCCTGCCTGTCCTCAAGGACGTCCGTGCCAAGAGCACACTCACCCCCGACGGACGGAGGAAAGACAGACTCAGACTCAGCAACAAGGCTAGCGGCGTAGTCTAGACGGCAGGCGGCAGCAAAGTCAACAAGCTCAGCGACTAGAGCAGACGCAGCAGTGGACTCAAAGGTAGGGTCAGTGACAACAGTGGCGAGGAAACGCGTGACAGTAGGACTGGCAGCACGAAGGGAGTCAGACTCCGGGTCCGGACCGTCAGGAAGAGAGGACGCAGGAGGAGACGGCAGAGGGACACGCTGTGGAGCAGTGGAAGGACGCAGAGTCATATAGTGAGTGCCAGGGACAGGAGGAGGACGCTCACGCGGAACACGACGACCAGCGCGGACAGCGCGGACAGGCGACTCTGGACGAGACTCAGGCGACGCAGGACGAGACTCAGGCGACGTAGGACGAGACCCAGGCTCACGACGCTCCGTAAGACCTCTAGTCGGCCCAGCGTAAGGAGAAGGACCAGGCAGCAGAGAGGCAGGCTGTAACTGTGACTGCGACTGGACAGGCGGTGGACTCAGTAGGGGAGGAGTAGGACCAGTAGAGGGCGGGGGGCCAAGAACCTGCTGAAGGAGCGGAACGTAGTACGGCCGCGGCCGCGCAGCACCTCCTGAACCAGCAGAGACAGCACCAGCACCCTCAGCCCCAAGGTCTCCAGCTACAACTCCCGCAGCACCACCAGCTGCTCCAGCAGCTCCAGCACCTCCAGATCCAACTCCCGCAGTAGCTCCAGTGCCAGCAGCTCCAGTACCTCCAGTACGAGCACCTCCAGGACCAGCGGCTCTAGCAGCTCCAGCACCAGCAGCACCTCCAGCAGCACCAGCACCAGCAGCACCTCCAGCAGCTCCAGCACCAACAGCACCTCCAGCAGCACCACCCGCAGCTCCAGCATCAGCAGCACCTCCTGCAGCACCAGGGCCTCCAGCGGGCGGCACCCCAGCGCTGGGAGCGCCGCTCCAGAGGCTGCAGCGCCGAGCGTACCACTCACGCAGCCGCTGTGGGTAGGGAGGCTCCGGCCGCGACACGGCACCCGCAGCACCACCAGCTCCAACTCCAGCAGAACCCCCAGCTTCAGCAGCCCCACGCTGGAGGCTGCAACGCTGAGAGTACCACTCACGCAGCTGCTGTGAAGAGGGAGCGCCACCAGGCGCAGCACGGTCAGTCTCAGAACCCCCAGCCTCAGAACCCCCAGCCTCAGCTCCTCCAGGCTCAGCACCCCCAGTCCCAGCACCCCCAGTCTCAGCACCCCCAGGCTCAGCACCCCCAGCCTCAGCACCCCCAGGCTCAGCACCCCCAGTCTCAGCACCCCCAGGCTCAGTACCCCTCGCAGAACCAGAGTCGATAGCTACCTTGACAGGCTCGACCGGGTCTACCTGGGAAACACCTGAGGGAGCAGGACCCTGGGGAGGGAGGGCGTCTACCGAAGGGACACCTGGGGTGAGGAAGAGCGGCGGGGGGGGAAGCGGGGCAGTGCGGTAGGGGAAAAGACGGTAAAAGGGTACCGATTCGTCAAAGGTGACGTCCTGAGAGGGGAAGACACGGCGCGAGGTGGGGTGGTAAAACTGCCAGCCAGGCGTGTCAGGGGGGAAGCCAAGGAAGACACAGGGAACAGCGCGGGCGGAGAGCT